GAGTGTGTGTGTGTGTGTGTGTGTGTGTGAGATGTCAAGGGGAGAGAATGGAGAGAAGAGAAGTGAGGAGAGCGAGAGGTGGAGAGTGAGAGAAGAGAAGAGAAGAGATCAGCCACAGGAAGCAATTGTGGCTGGGGAGGTGAAGTTGCAATGAATGAATCAGGGGAGGCAGCAGGATAAGAGGATCAAGAGAAGAAATAAAGCAAGAGCGAGAGAGAAATGACGTCGAAGAAAAGACAGAGAAGAAAAGAAGAAGAACTGTCGATCCAGGAGAGAAAGAGAGAGAGAGAGATGGCTGTGTATGGTTACCGTTCGCATACGCTCCCCACTGACTACTGCCACTATTTCTTAGTCTCTCCATCTCTGTCCGATCATGATCCTACCACTACTAACCATGAAAAGTCATGATATACTAAACAGACAGAAGACTGATTTCATGAGATACTCTAGAGTAGGTAAGAAATTCCTCATCTACATCAATAATCTACTATCCAATAATCTAGATCCATGATAGATGATAGATCCACCGATCTGTTCCTCTGCACCGCCACGATCATCTCAGCCACACTGATCTCTAGACCGATGACATTCATAATTGGATCTCTTATTTGTATTTTTTTTTTCTTCTTCAACTTCAATTCTTTTCTCTTGAGTTTCTTATAATACCCTAATATAATACCTAGTAGAATACCTATTAGAATCATCGTGGTGATCTGATCGATGATCCACCGGTCCCTGCCAAGCCCGATCACCCCTTAGTCATCTGTAATCTATCCGTATTCCGTGACAATGATTACACGTGGCATTGCATCTCTCTTTTTTCCTTTTTTTCTCTTCCTTTTCTCCAACTCCTATACTACGTCGTAGTACTCGTAGACAATGGGAATCTCTTCTCCCTCCCATGGATCGGAAATCTGTCCCAGATTCCCTTCTCGATCCAATCATGGTTCGCTAGGAGATTTCCACAGGGTCTCAATCCTTCCTCGTCCATGGATCAAAAACAAAAATCGATCGGATTCCCCGATGGCGGACAAACTCTAAACTCAGCCGTCTTGCCATCGACTCGAACTATCGGAGATCTCACCGTCCGATCTCATGCAATATCCATCATTCTAACATTACAGTATATCAATCTATATACCCATACTATCTACCTCAATCCACCCAGCATTCCATTTCAATTTTTCCCACTCACACAACACACACACACACACACACACACACACACACACACAAATACAGAAAAAGAGAGAGAGAGAGAAAACCCAAATAAAGAAATAATCGACTCGTCAATCCGATCCCAGTGGGTCGCGCCGATCACACTACGAACTTGCCAACTCAACCATCCCAATCAGGCATCGTCTCCAGCACACTGTAATTTGCTCTTTTCGCCAAGCCACCGTGTGTCGTCATCGCCCCAACGCGGGCGGGTTTCAATATATTGATGGACTTGCATGGTTAGTCTTTCTGTGCACACTAAAAGTACACTCCGATGCGGGGCGGTGGTACGATTTGATTCTTGCTGGATCTTAATGACGTACTATCACGTATAATCATATATCATTATATTGGATCTGACGTAGAAATAAAAGAAGAAAGAGAGAGAATATATCGATAATAAACAAGTAATATAATACCAATATACCTACGAAACAACCATCCAAAATCAAGTAAAAGTACAGCGTAACCCTAACCATGCACCCCTCAGCCAACACAAGCCTCGATCCACCCACCCCATAACCCCCCGGGTAAGAATAAGAACTACTCATGCACCAGCCCGTGAGACCAGGTCCGTGTCCTTCCTAGCATCCTCCTCGGAACCTTATCCCGCAGACTCCCCACCACCCAGTAGTCCGTACGTAGTAGTCTAGTCCAACTCCAAAGACGGAGAGTATAACCTACACCGCGCCTGTGGCAGGAAAACCAACTATCACCCTAACCCAATTGAGGTTCCCGGGACATCTAGTCTATTCTTCTACTGTCCAGTGAGGGGTCGGTCCAGCTCGTTAGTGTGGTACAAGCAAGTAAGTCGCGCTTTAATTGTATTTCTCGGCACATAGGCGCAATCTGCACTGTTCGTCCAGTCAATCGGACAGTCCGTTACTCCATACAAAACATAGGAGGATAAAAGATATGGATGGCAGCCACCCAACTGCAAGGCACGGTGGTACAACGTACGTGCAGGTTATCCATCGCTGATGGGATCAAAGTGGGAGGGGAAAATGAATATATAGTTCCGCTCAGATCTGCTAGGTGCTTTGGATAGGTGTGGCTGGTGGGTGGAGTTGCACGCAAAGTTCGATAATTAGGTGCTGTGTTACGGTATTTCTAATCCAATAGTAACAATCATTTGTAGTTTTATTGCAATAATAGAAATATTAAATAGAATCAATCATAGGTTGCGAGCATGTTGAGTACTTTCTGTGGCTATAATCATTTTGTTGTGTTGACTGTGTTCTGCCGTGGTCCTCGTCCCAAAATATATATATTCCTTTACGTACATGAATTTTGTTACTACAACATTCCATTCTTGATCTTGTACACTGTACCCGAAATTGTTTAGAAAGTATTATATTAAATTGAATAATTGAAAGTAATAAATCAGTGTTTTTCGCGCCCCATTATTGAAAGTCTATTAGATTGCCTCAAGACCTCGCGAGATTTAAAGGTATGAATACCACGGGTGGCAGCATGTCTAATACGTTCTTGGGCAACGATTAGCCGCGAAAGATGTATCTGCAAACAGACTCTGTACAGAAAAATTCTGATGTTTTATCTCATTGCGTTGACGCATTGTCTTTATCCAAATCTACGGTGGTACAACAGTTCTTTGATATCCCATCAAATCTCAAACCATGAACGGAATCAAAGATTCGTCCCTCTGGCTTACGGGTAAAATAACAAGTCAATCAACAGAACTGTCTCTCGAAGTTAGTCCCCAGCACTGGTGACTCCGCAACAGGAGTGGCTAAAAACCCCAAGTGGTTCTCCACCTTGCAGACACCGAGCTTCTTCCATCGGCATGCCACATTCACCTACGGTAGACTGCCAATACGCTAGCATTCTTGCAATTCATTTTTTCAAACATCTTACCCTACCCAGAAAAGAAGGGATCTTACACGATGCTTATTTTTGCAGTAATGCCAATGCACAGTCCCAAGAACCAACTCGCCATGGCCTTGTGTACCTACTTCTTCTCCTCGCTTGAAACAAAACCGTAGGCCGCCGCACCGTTCAACAGTACTTTGCTTTGCCGATATCGTCAGACATCCTTAAAGGAGAGAGACTCCAGTCACCGGCTATACCAAATCTCAAACAGCGTTGGTAAGATTCTGCTTTGTGTAGTTGTTGCATGATCATTGTTATGCCGAATACAAGACGGCGAAAACTCTCCTTGGAAGTCAACCGTGACTGCAGGCTGAAACTGGTTTGCTTTTATTTTACCCCCGTGCACCTTCTGTACGTTGGTAGTAATATCATATCCAGTCTTGGGTCTTTGAAGGATTTCTCTGGCCAGGCGTGTGACAGGGCTCTTCGGATGATGATCGCATTGTCGACAAAAAGCAGCTCCAGAGTGCTTCGGCAACACCTTTGAACTCAGACTTGAACACGGCCTCCTGGACTTGTAGTAAGATGCTCGGTATTACCTTTGCTACATGAGGCAATGTCTCCCTGTGCTTGACCTCGTCATCTGCGCTAACTTCTCTGTTTGTTTTGGAGCTGTGTCAGGTAACTCACCGCCCTGCGAAAGACTGCAAAATCACTGGCCCCATGCGGCCCGTAATATGACAATATATAGCTACCACTGGGTTCTCTCTTGAAAATGAGCTTTGTATATCTTCACACAAGATCTATGAGACTAGACGGAGAAAGAGGAAGCAACGAGGGTCGAACATTAGTCGTGTGACACTGTAGGATTGGACAAAGTCTGTTCTTACCATCTCTAGGAAACTTGCCAGGCCAGCCTCAGTAGCCTAATCATTGACAACAGTAACCACCAACGAACCAGAGCACCCTATGGTTGAGAGAATCGTCTGGGAGAGACTTTGCACTTGACCTAGCCATAACTCTGTTGTGTCTGACTTTGTGGATCTCTTTCTGAACAGAAGGGAGAATTGCGGTATGGCTCTAGTGATATGTACGGGTGGTTAGCTGTAAGGCTGCATATTACTTTGTCAATAGTTTTTCTGAACTGGACAAGTGATTCTTTTGGTTTCCTCGAAGCTTCGGCCGCCTGGGGTCGGCCATACTATACGTTTTGGACGGCTGTCCTGCAGCACCAAACAAGAAGTTAACTTCAAACTGGAATTGAGATAGAATACAATGAAGTAGATATAAGAGTGTATCCTGATTGACGGTAAAAAGAACCAAAGATTTGATTCTACCAGAGGGCCAGGTTTGGACCTAGGCTTACTGACCCTGTGAGAGAAGAAAGAAAAGCGTGCCACCCTCGAGTCCTAGGTATTGCATTTGATCATTGATATGATAGTGGCCACTGCAAGAAAAATAAGCAGGCCATGTTCAATATTCTCAACAAGACAGCCAGACAGAAGTGTCTTGTTCAATGTTTATGGTATTAGAGTATGTAGCAGACCGTTCTTCCACTTCACTGGCAATAAACACTACTCACAGAGTAGAAAATTAATCTTGCTACCAAGCACATTTTCACCAGTTATTACCACTAAAAGACCGCAATGAGAAGATTATTGCAATAACCACGCGACCTGGTCAATACACTGGCACAGGACTGGCAATTGTCACATATCACATCCGTCAGTCTTAGCAAGAATAATAGCGCACCCAAAGTGCTAGGTCTAGAAGAGAAAGAATGTATATAACTATATGATAAAATAAGAGATGTAGGATAACGTGAATCATATAATAACGCCCAAATGCGGTGATTAAAAATAGAAAAATAGGTCATGCGAAAGTACTAAGAAAATACAAAATATGAACACCAGAATATAAAGTCAAAAAAAGTCTACTCTCCCAACAAGTTCAGCATGTTAGCTCAGGGGAAGAGCGCCGGGCTCATAACCCGGAGGACCCTGGATCGAAACCAGGACATGCTATTCTTCTTTTTTTTTTTTTTTTTTTGTTCTCGGGTACTGATGCCTGAGGTGTCATATCACTATATGACTATTCTTTGTCCATACCTTTAGACAAGGGGATCTTTGAGATTGCATCTCTTGCCTATTTAAATAGAGCCAATAGAGGAAATGTAGTTATGCTGGCGTCTACCTTGACGTTCTTCACAACCCAAGGCCTCAGATATAGTTTTGCTTGTCTCTAATCTCCCTCTCACCAGCCACTTAACCGTTCATCCAAACTCACTAAACATCACCCTCACAGCTACATGGAGCATCTGGAAATACTCTAGCACTAATACGTCTTGATACTGTTGACCAAGCCGCACAGTCGACGACTGCAATGAGGGCCTTTGCACCGTGACTTCTTATATGCAGCTGGTTCTAATCACGCTGCACTGGAAAAGAACCGGAGGACAAGATACATGGCAATGGTTTGCATATTGCTGGCATTAACAGTCATATTGGTGTCTGATATACATTCAATGACAGATTGCATCTTCATCATTGCTCGTGCTGCTCGTGCAAATATTGGGCTTCAACCATATGAAAGTGTCACAGGATAGACCATGAAAGCCAGCTCCGCCACAGTCTCCATAGAAAACCATCACCACTGACCATACTAACTATCCTTTTGCGGTACCTCACACTCAATGATGCTCTCCGTCGCATTGTTGATCGTCCAGATCTTCACGATCTTCAATCCGCACACCTCGATATTCTTACGCCAACGCGCCTCAGAGCGCTCCCTCGCCCCAAAGGTTGCCATCATGACCATATCCAAGCTGGTGCTCTCCCAATGCGCGTCTGTCGCGGGTATCACAAATTCATGGATCAACACCTTGCTAAACCCGATTTCCAGCGCCGAAATCAGATTCCAAAGGATGTCGCGAGCGATATCATCAGGCCAGTCATGGAGGATGTGGTGCAGGTAGTACACACGAGCACCTAAATTGACATTAGTCCCATATCATCTAAAGAGATATAAATATTCGACGGGGTAGGTAGTACTGACACTTAATCGGTTGCATCTTGAACATGTTATGCGGCACCAGCTCAATCTTCGACGGCACGCGCTTCTTCGCCTCTTCCAGCACCTCGGGCAAATCCTGTAAGACCAGCCGACCCGGCGCATCCGGAAACCTGCCATGGAATTCCATGATATCGTGTCCCAGCCCACCGCCAATATCAACAAGCAACGGGCGGCTTTCATGAATGTCCACATCCTTGAAGAGAGTCTCGGTAGGATAAAATCCAGGATCCATCCAGCTGGGCCGACCTTTCCTGCAAACAGTCATGAAGCGGTTAAACTGCTTCCCGGTGGTAGGGTGCGCCTTCAGGTAGTCGAAGAAGCCCAACTTCGTCTTATACCCGTCTTGGAACGCGCAGTGCTTCCCGTCGGCCGGGTTCTGGTGGTCCCTCTTTTTCAAATGCGCTGGAAGGGCGAGCACCCCCGCGGTGATGCAATCGGTCCTATATGCATCAGCGATAGGATCTGTGCCCGCTGAAAGGCAGACTCACATGCACTGCAGAGACTCGCTAAAGCGCGTGGAGCACATCGCCTGTGTGAATCCCGTCCGGCGATACTCGTGGGGTCCGACCTCTTCAATGGCGCCCATCGCAGCGAGATGTTTCAAAATACGGGCTAAATAGTTAGCCAACTCGCTATAGAAAGGTTATATATCAAAGAAGGGGGATAAAAGAAGCGAGACTAACAAAGCATGGACGGATCTGCACCGCACGCCTCAGCCAGCTCAACCGCGCTTTTCGGCATGTCATCCTCAGACAAGTTCTTGAAAACACGACAATTGCTCGCGATCTGAATTGCAGCATACGTGGAGCTCTAACCAGAACAATAGTCAGACAGAACTCTTTTGAAAGAGGAGGAAGAGCATACATACCTCCGCCCAGCTATACCTAGCAAGAGCCTCCCGGGGCGTTTCCAGCGCATAGACCAGCGCGCGCGCATTCTCCAACAGCTTCACCCTCGTGGCCGCAGTCGGACGTGCGCCCTTGGCAAGGCCCGCCGAGATGATGTTCTCGACGTACCCGGAGACCTTGTCCGGCATGTTGGGCTCGAGACCTGCGTTTTCGTCGACATGTATGTACTTCGAGTGACGCCTGCGCCGTGCTTGGGATGAATCGGTAGGAACCATGATTGTGTGGAGCGGAGAACGAAAGCTGACAGAACTGTGCAATTGACGAAAAATGAAAACCGAACTAATTGAATAGAATTAGAAACGAGAAGGGACGATGCCAATACTAATATTAACTCACGATCTACACAAACTGTAGCCATCCCCACGTGACCACAAAGACCCTGGCATCGGTGTAGGAGTAGGACAATTCCGGCCTCGACAAAGGGCACGTCCGACAGAGAATAAAGAAGCCACTAAGAAGAGAGCATTCAGAGCCAACGACAAACCTCCTAGTCCACTGTCTGCGCCGTATCGTTCTCAAGGTGAACCCTACCTCGTCAAGGAACACCACGGCACAAAAAATGGCTGCTACACCTGCGGGGTTATCAAAGTTTGCTCGTCTTTGACTACTCGATTGATCAAAGACTGGCTGTCAAAAGACAGGTACCGTGGATGGAAGCTTGAAGTGTTGAAGGTTACAGACGGCAGGGTCCGTGTCTTTGCAGGTAGTGGAATGAAAGCAAAGTAATCTATGATTAGAGTCTGGTTTGCCCGGGGATGCCGGCTACATGGTCACTGTTGTACAAACCATTGACTGTTGTACGTGCATGGGTGTTTTTAATTATCACTGTTCGCTTTAGATTAGATTTCCTGGAGGTCAGTGGTAGGGGTGTAGTCGAGTACCTAGTCTCTGTCTGACGTGACATGGTTCTATAGAATACTTAAGGGTTTGCGTGACCTGACATATCACTTAAAGCAGTATGTAGACTCTCGAACCACGAGTGCTCGTCTTACCTATACTAACCCGTCTTATTACCTGATATCTCAGTAGCAAGTGGTCAACCGCGCAGCTCCTGTGTAGTAGTACACGCCATGCTGGTTCATGCAACCTCCCCAGTCATATAGGATAGTTAGTGCCGGGCTATTGCATAGAAAGATCATACGAAAATCACCCTATAAGATAATCGAATGAAACAATAGTCACACAAGAACGGACACATTCCTATCATTGCATGTATGTAGTCTAGGTTATTGGATCCCCCAAGAGTTGGCAGTCAGATTTTTTTCAAAATGTATAGCGCATCAGTCTAACAGCGTCCCCACGTCGAGACCCCGCCTGATAACAAGAATATCGTGCTTTCGGACCACGGCAAACTCCCGCCGCTCGGGGATATATTCAATCAAGAAGTTGTTGGTGCTGCCCTTCCACTCCGACAAGAGGAAGAAGTGTCGTTTTGCGCTTTGTTTGTGCGCAATCCACTGCGTGATATCCAAGCTGCATATCCACAGATCTCTATCCAAGAATATCGTAAGAGACTTGTCTACATGGATGATCTGGCGCATGTTGCCGGATATATGCTCAAAGTCAGGGAGGGCAAGGGGTTTGGGAAAGTCTCGGTTCGTGGATATCTGAGAAGCGTCCCAGATGTTTAGTTCGTAGAAATGGTTTCTTTCTGCATTGTCGTGCGATGTGCTGAGAATGGCAACGTGTTTTTGAGGAGTACTTAGGTGTGTGACACCTGGGACCGTGGAGTCATGTGTAGCCTGAGCTGCTGTACTACTAGTGTCATTTCCCTTCGAGTCATCCCAAGCGTACGCTGCCGTATGATTAGAGCTAATGAAAAAGAAAACATCTGGCTGTAGGGGGTGGTTTGAGAAAGTTGTATCGTCGCTGGATTGCAAGTCAATCTTCCTATCGGTTCTCGAACCGGACATTGTCCAAACTCGCGCCGAATTCCTTCCTTGGGCGAGAAGCCGAGTGCCACTGCGGTTAATGAGAAGAGCCAGCACAGGACCATCTGACCGCATGTCAATGACCGTAGAAACTACTTCGCAGCCGCCAGACGTAGACCTAATCTGGGTCGCCACGATCCGACTAGATTCGTCCCCAGTAATCAACAGCGCAGCCTGTTCGCAGTACGCGATGCAATTGATTCTGATATTCTGCGCATGCTGATAGAGAACTCTGCCATGGGCGGCACCCGGGACATCAAAATACGACACGGTGCCGTCCTGTTTTGCATAGAACAGATATTGCCCACTAGGATGCAGACAAACAGCGGTAATGTCCGCCTCCGCGGGGCCCTCGAGCATACCGACAGAGCGCGGATTGAGTGTGACCGCCTGGCTAAGATCGCTCTGGCTGCCCTCGTCGAAGTCATTAGCGACAAGCACACTCGGCTCCCAAATGCGGCACTGTGAGCCTCGAATATCAGCGAAGCGCAGGCTGTCGCTGCTGAATGCAATGCCACGGATTCCGTCCTCAAAGGCATTGATCCGATACGTCAGCGTCAGGTTTGTGCCTCGCGCACCGGAAAATTCAAACAGCTGGATCGTGCCCCGCGCGCTACCCGTGATCAACATGCGTCCGTCCGGCGAGCAGGCTAGGGTATGGGCGAAGACGTCCTGCGTTTGGTAGCATAGATCGGCGGTCCATTGATCAAATACGGCTAGCCCTCCGTCTCCGTACGATGCTACCAGAACATTGATCTCGGGATTCGGGTTGAAGGCCATGCCGTCAACGACGTATTGGCTCCCTTTGGGCTTAGCAGATGATCTGTTGCAGGACCCGATCATTGATTCCATCTTCATGTCAAAGAGATAAACTGGCTTCCCTCTGTAGCTCACGGCAAGGACGGTGCAATCGTCCGACAGGATGGCCTTTCCTGGGGGTTGGACGGGCTTCGCTTCGCCCGTTGCTTCGTGGAAACTGCTGGCCCACCGCCAGACTTCTCCCTCGTTTTCGTCACTTTGCAGGTCCCATGATAGTGTATAGCTTCCGCTAGTCACAGCCACAAGAGAGGTATTCTCATCCGCAAAAGCGAGCGTAAGGGGGCGGTGCTGTAC